CAAAAAAAGAAAAACCAGCCAGTTAATATTAATTTGTTCGTTGATAGTTCAGAAGTCATTTGAGATTTAATCCTCTAAACCTGAGACACTTTATATTTTTTTTTAAAGGGTCACTACCCAGTTAAAATTCCAGAAAACATGCTTTAAAAAAATAATGTTACACAGGTGACTAATAAATTCTTTAACAATTTATTTATCTACATTTTAAATTCTTTACTTTTTTTAGTGTGTGTGAAATATATGATGGGAGTAATGAATAAACAGAAACACTATTTGGAATACAAACCCAGGGCCTAAAAACAGATATCAACTAATGACTTGCCAAAAAAAAAAGTGGAACAAAGAAGAAACAACACACCCATCCATTGCATTTACCAGATATCAGAACACCCATTCTGTGAAAATACAAGGAATTATAGAGAGAACAAACCAACAGTAAACACCCACAAGACCCCATCAACAGAAAGCAACATACAACAATTTTCTGTCTACCAACAGGACACTGCAAGAACAACTACCACGTGCATAAAATAAAGATTGTACATTCCCCACAGTGTGCCTGTCAGACAGGACCACACATGCTCCTTTGCACATTCTACAGACCTGCCCAATCTACCTACAACTTCGAAAAGAAACATGGCCTCAAGAGCAAAGTGCAGAGCAAGCTACGGGGAATCATGAAGGACGCAAAGAAGACTAAATTTTTTTTTCCTTTTTTGTGTGTGTGAAATATGTAAAGATACATGAAGAGAGTAATCAGTAAACACAGTCTATGGAATACATTCCCAGGGCCTTAAGACAGATATGTCAGGTGATTGTGCTGTGACCATGTGACCTCTATCAATGAGGCTTACAGGACAATTTGACATCAATTAGCTTCAACAGAAAAAGCTATTTGGTTTAGAGCAAAACCCTTCCAAATGTTAATTTTAGTTAATATATTCATATTCTGACCTAAAACAGCCAAAAGCATTAACTATGCACCGCATAAACAGACTACAATAGAGAAATCATAAAAGTGACATTTACAGGGAATTGAACCCAATCTGAAGTCAGTTTTGCAGCTTTTCTAGGCAAATAGGTTTTAACAAATGTGGCCTGTATTTTATATCATCATGTGCCTTGCCTAAGGCTTCGGTGTTCATGTCTTTCCACAGATCTGTTTTTGGTGTTCCTGACCTATTCTGTTGATGATGTCCATACATTCCAGCTACCATCCAGCATAATGTTTCTGTCTGCCTCGGCTACTGCTGATCTTGTCATTCACAGCGTTTTTCATTGCTAATTTTCTGGTGACGTGACCAAAGAACGCTGTCTGTTTCTTTGCGTTGCTTATTAAAAACTACTTAATTGACCTCTACTATTCTTCATATGGAAATAATAAAACCACAGAAATGTCAGCATTATAGTTTCTGTCTCTTATCAGTATTAGAGAAAAATATTTAGTCGATCAGACAATTTGTGGTTAATGGAAGTTTAATTGTTTACAGGTGAACCCTGTCACCCTATAAATGCAGAAATCTGTTATTTTCTTTTTTTTTTTTTTATGGTGTTGTGTCTGTGGACAGTAGTCATTTGCAGGTGTAACTGATTTAGTGCCGGTTGCAACTGCCTAGTGTGTAGACATGAGGTATGATTATATCTGGGAATCATTTAAAAAAAAAAAATTCAAACATATATTTTGGGGTATAAAAAAATAATCAATTTTTAGAACTTCTGACATGATCGTGACATCATATTTAATTTCAGAATTGCAGCATATTTCTGTTTATTAAAGACAATTTTTTTAAGTGACTGAACCCATAAATGGATGTCCATTTATCTATCCATTCCATTGCAAATAAGTAAACCTTTTCCCTCCTGATTTAGAAATGTAGTAACTGCATTTTTGGTTGATTTTTTTTAGTGTGTTGGTATGATCAAAGAAGCAGAAGACTTGACACCTACCTGTTTGCTAAGTGGTTTAGAGGTTTGACCCCATCCTGGAAGTTCATAAAAGCTGCTCAAGACTCACAGTTTCTGCTTCCTCTTCTCTTCTATTATCTTAGAATAGAGTTTCAGGAAATTAAAATAACGCGTCTTTTTAATGAAATTTGAAGGGGGGAAAAATTTAATTTTTAAGATTCTTACTGGGACTTCTGCAACCTCCTGTAGAGGATTCACAACTAAGTTTTAGCTGGGGGTGAAAGGGTTGAAAAGCTTTTTTTTTTTTTGGGGGGGGGGGTGATTGGTCCAGGTTGAAAAGCTTTTTTCCTTGACTCTTGCTGTTGTAACAGAGTTTCTTATATGCTTATGCTGTTATTTTGTCAGTAGCTGGTGTTGCTGCATTCTAACAAAATTTCCAAACTCTCAATTTTCTTAGTATAATTGTTCACATAAACTATCTGATAATATTGATTTTCACTGTCTTGGTTGGTCAAATCTGAGATCAAGCGAGAAGCGATAGAATATGTTATTTGATAGAGATGGCTGCCAGTGTTTCTGTCACTGTTTTTATTATAAAGCTTGGGGTAGAATAACTCACAAGTTACACCTCCCTGACTTGTCTATACCTGATTTGGTCCATGGTATAGGCTGCACATGTTTGCCCTTAGTTATTGAGGCCACCTTTACTTCTCCGGATATTACCCAGTACCCCATTTTAGGCTGGGTCAACCTGTGAGCCAAGGTCAGTTTTTTTTAAGAAAAAAATCTGCCTTGGTGCAGAGGTGAACCCTTGGTCTGTTGGGTGGCAGGGGAGTCTTTGTTAATAGTAGTCTGATAGGAAAAGCTTGCCTGGTTTGATATGACATGCTTCAGTTTCTTGTAGAAATTAGTCACCCCAGTTTCTTTAAAGGCTAAGGAGGGGGTAATATATACATTGCAGACCTACAAACACTTGGAGTCACCCACTGGAAAGAGGTCAGTTGACGAGATGAATGGAGATGGGTAATATCTGCAGCATTAAACCACCTCAAGGGCTCAGAATGCAGAGGAAGAGCAAAAAAGCAGACCTTACCCCCTTATGGAAGAAACTGATTTTCAATACTTCCATCTTCTGAGAACCCATAGGCAGGGTTATGGAATAGAAGGTTTTCAGATTCCACAAGATGTTTAAACACTTTTCCTTGTTTGTGAAAAACTGTATATAAGTGTCACTATTGTATGGTATATTACATTGTGAATGTTGATCATCTTTGCTCACGCATTGTGCTTTTAAATGTATGGAGACAACAGCACTGAAAAAAGAAGTAAATACATTTTGATATCATCCCTGGTCCATAAGCTTCTTTATCATTGTAAGACGAGTGTGTTGGTTTCCTTTATTCTTTGGTGTGACTTTCTGCTTGCCTGCATGTAAGTCATGAGTCGTTTTTATGAATTTATAGCTCTCACAATGGTATTATGTGTTTGTACATATTCTTTTACATGGCTTTGATGAAGAACTGGAAGTGTATGTGAATTTCATTATTATTATTTTCTTATTGTTTTTTTCTCAGGCTGACCCTAGGTATTTTAACTCATTATTCTAGACACCTGTTATGTTAACCCTGTTGCACTGTGAACATTTAAAAATGGGTTATGACCCTGTGGGAATTGCTGACCCCCAAATTATTTTTATTATATAGTGATGTGTTTTGTATCATAACAGTGGCTTAGTAGTACATATGTTTTGTGTTATGAGCTGTTTTCTTTAGCTCAAACAGAATTAGGAAACACTGGTTTAAGGTCTAGTGTTTGTACTGATTTGTGTGGGAATTTGCAATGACAGTAAGTATAGAATGAGGTGTCTAAAGAGAAAAGACACTGTTGTAATATAAGCTGCATTTCTTTCTTTCTTTCTTATTTTGTCTATACTGGTTACAGATTTCATGGTAATCGCTGTCCTTATGTTCACTAAAATAATATAGTAAATGTGATGTAAATTTAATTTGTATGTTTGTCAATTAATTACATTGAATATAAACATTCTGGTGTGTGTATATCCACACATTTGTTTTTTGTGTGCATATTTTTACACAAGGCAATTGTGTGTTGTAAAATGTCCTAGAAATATGTCATCTCTGTGGTAGCACATGGTTATTGTAGAGTTTTTAAATCCTCATGTGTTTTTAGGGTTCCAATTTTTTTTTGGGGGTGGGGGGGTGGGTGAGGAATAGACCCAGTGTCCCCTAACAAGCATGTCATGGATTTGCTGAAATCACATGTGTTGGGCCAAAAGGCCCATATATCGCAGTCTAGCACAGCACAGCTTGTCAACCACCCTTTTGAAAGTAAGCGAAGAAGAGGAGTTTAAGAAATACCATTTGGAGATCAGTATACAGGTTTTTTCAGCTTGCTAGCTTTTTTCTATTCTTCTGTGTTCATCCTTTTTAAAGGTGATGGCATGTAACCTCCTTGTTTATATATAGTAAGGCTGCAATATCTGCCCCTTTTATCTCCACATTTCCTTTTTCAGAAAATTCCTTATTGGCCCACTGTTACAATACAACACGTTTATTAGGGAGCAGTGGGTCTTTTCTTTCCATTCAGAATTAGACCTCTGGAATCCACATGGATTTTGATAACATAGAAGCTGACTATTTGTCATTCACAACAACAAAAGACTAACATTACAAAATCATTGCCTACAAACACACTAGGTGAATTAAGACAATATTAATGAGAAGAATCAAGTGTTTATAATCAAAACAAAATGTTGTATTTGAAAAGGGGTAATTGGGGTTTTATAATGACAGAAATAAAATGCACTACATCAGACATAACATGATTTAAGCTCATTCCTCTAAGGTAAAACAATTATGCACAATATTCATAGTGCTATCTTTTTTTTTTTAAGCCATGTGTATTATTATTATGTAACTTAGTATTACTACAATGTTTTCTGCTAATTGTGGTGTGTGTGTATTTTTTTTTTTTAAGTGGGATCCTCAAGATGTAGACTGTCCTCGTTTGTAACGGTTGAAGAGAGAATAAAGTTGGTCATTTCTCAGTATGTTCTACCACTTGTATGTTGCTTGTCACTTGTATAGCAGACCTGTTGAAAGATAACATCTTGCGTTTATGCTTGCTATGTTTTTGAATGGTACCTTCTTTTATTGTCAGTTATGTTTTATCTTCTCTCTTTCTCTTTCTCATTTGCTCTGTCTGTCTATCTATCTATCATCTTTTTCTCGCTTGCATGCACACATTGGACACATATTGCGAAGACCTGATGATACAAGCAGAATTTCATTGTAAAACCTACTGACTCAATACAGTAAGGCAAACCAAGCAACATGTAGAGAAGAGAATGAGTTTTAAAAAATCTCACTCTCTCCTCTCTGTCTCTATCTATCTATCTATCTATCTATCTATCTATCTATCTATCTATCTATCTATCTATCTATCTATCTATCTATCTATCTATCTATGTATCTATCTATCTATCTATCTATGTATCTATCAATGTATCTATATATCTGTCTATCTATCATCTATCTCTCTCTCACTCTCTCTCTCTGAACAGGACACATACTAAGAACGGACAACAATATAAGAAGAATGTCATTATACCAGAACTTACAGACTGAAAAACAATAAAGGCAAATACTTTGAGAAAAGAATAAAGTGAAAAAAATCATGTGATCTGCACACAGTAGAAACATAAGGCAACTTAGCTGGGGGAAGGGGTTCCACAAAGAAGTTGTAGATATACTGGGCATACACTGAGACGAAATGAGCAAAGAATTACAAAACATGCATCGAAATGGGAAACAAATGGTTTTAGAAAAATAGGATGTCCAAGGGAAACAATAAGAAAAAATTATTACAATAGGCTTCAAATGCTGGGTTGAACACGTCAGAAATCGAAAGTTGCATGCAGCAGAGCGGAGTGGAGGAATCGAATGTGAGCACACAAAGGATGATGATATGTTCCATTGGGGATCAAGGTCTAGAGAAGTAAGCGGTATAGTGGTTTATTATATTTTTGTGTGGTTCGAGATATCCAGTCAATACGAGTAATAGCTGAGAGTGTTTTTTTGCAAAGCATCAAACTAGCTCCAGTGATGGATCCCAGATGTCCATAACACCAAAGGACAGAGCCCAACAACTTCACCCACAATTTTCTAAACACAATGTGAATGGCTTAACCACTTCACCGTGGCGATCCCCTACTGATAAAAAAATCTTACAATAATAACTTCACTTGTTTTGCAAGTTTTGAGGTCCTAGTGGAGCAGTGGTGTGCAGTAAAAGACTGTTAGAAATGTCTGTTAGCCTCTTGATAAAGCCTAACTTCTCTTCGCGTGGTGGACACTGCAGCAGTCTAGTGGAATACTGGAGTCTCAACAGAACTGCCAGAAGGCGGATCAAAAACCATAGCATGTGTATTATGGTTCTCAGATAAATTTATTGTTAGTGCTCACCCTGTCGAGCTCCACATGACAGCAACGCAGCCAGGTTTTGAACCTCGACAGAATTTACCCTAAGCAACTGAGAGGCCTCCTAGACCATTTTTTAGAGTCAGGAGATGGCAGAAGGTATCAATTAGAGATGCGCAGGCTTCATCTGAGTAGTTTACCACGGTGAGTACAAGCCACAGAACATGTCTGCAGTAATGTCCCTTGTACATCTCATTATGAAGGAAATACTAGCTCAGTGAGTCAACACATGGGAACTCCAAAAAAGGTCGCTCTTATCACAAGAACTTGTCTGTTAGTGTAAATAAAGGAAGTGATCTCAAGAAGGCGAAGAATGTATTCTGATGCCTACCATCGAGTTATGTGTGGGCAGTCCAAGTCCATGTAAAAAAAAAATCAAAAACTTGACCATTTTCAATTTGCTGTTAGCTAGCCGAAGCTGCCAAAAGTCTCTGATTATATTCGTGGTGTGGTTCATTTGCGCCACTTTCGTGGCTAATGTTCTGATATTTGCGCCATCTCTGGCTAAATGCTTCGTCCTCTCAGTCCGACCGCTCGTTCTTTCCCAGTGTGCGATTGTGTTTCTCCTTCCCGTATAATCCAGAGTTTTTCCTCTTGTGGTGTGGGCACTCGTAAATAAATGGAAGATATCGAAGAACTTTTTCTTCGTCATGCACATTAGTCATATAATGCTAGACATATTATTTAACCAATCAGCACTCGGTGGGTGATGTAGTCAAACTCATGTCTGCCACCTTTACCTTCCAATACTTTACCTGCAACCCATTTTAGGCTGGGTCTACCTGAGAGCCAAGGTCAATTTTTATAAAAACCCTGCTGGATGCAGATTTGAACCTACAACCTTCAGGCCACAGGCGAGTGTGTAGTAGCTACACCACGGCGACTATCTCATGCACATCAAGCACCAATAAAATGATCTTATTAATTAAAAATTGCACATCTATCTCACAACAATAGCCTCACCTGCTATACAAGCTGTGATGAAGCTGGCACAATGTCCCACCATCATAGAGCGAAGGATGTACTTGAAGACCACCGCCTTCCGATGAGGTATTAGCACTAAGTAGCATCCCATCATGATGCCCACACTGATAAAGTTGGCGAATCCACACAAGGCATAAGTGGTGATCACTTCAGATTTGTCCTATTGGTGCATGGTTCACAAATAAAATGCAATTAAGAATCGACATCATTCGGGACTTCCCATAGACACTCCGTCCCTATCTCCAAAAGCAAGCGAAGAGTTCCAATTCCGATGGTACCAGTAACAGTATGATTGTATATTCCGTTTTGCCTTTTCCCTGGGTGTTGAGCATCGCCCATATTTCCTGGGCACTTCTCGCAGCACCATTTTCCTCAGACTGCGATGATCATCCATCTGTGGCTCCGCAGTGTTCACTAGCCCCCAAAGGGTCCTTACAACGTCTAGTTTGCCACCAAGTTGTGCATAACTAGCCAAGCATTGTTTACAATACATTTACAACGAGGGTTACATTTTTGGTACCAAGGAGAGCACCACATGTTGATTTATAATTAATTTAACTTAGTTAATCGACAGATTAACCTCATTGCACATTGATTTATAATTAATTTAACTTAGTTAATCGACAGATTAACCTCATTGCACATTGATTTATAATTAATTTAACTTAGTTAATCGACAGATTAACCTCATTGCACATTGATTTATAATTAATTTAACTTAGTTAATCGACAGATTAACCTCATTGCACATTGATTTATAATTATTTTAACTTAGTTAATCGACAGATTAACCTCATTGCACATTGATTTATAATTAATTCAACTTAGTTAATCGACAGATTAACCTCATTGCACATTGATTTATAATTAATTTAACTTAGTTAATCGACAGATTAACCTCATTGCACATTGATTTATAATTATTTTAACTTAGTTAATCGACAGATTAACCTCATTGCACATTGATTTATAATTAATTTAACTTAGTTAATCAACAGATTAACCTCATTGCACATCGGACAAGTCCATAAGATCTCACAGATCCCATCTTCATGTATATCCCCCAGCTTGTGGTGACTGATAACACCAGTTCTGTGTTGGTTTACTATTCTTCTTTGGGCTACCTGTATAGTGTTCATGTTTGACGGCACCTCTTTGGACCTGAAGTTCTTGTAGTCTTTTGAGTGTTGCAGATTCACCATCGTCTCTTGAATCATCTTCTCGTCCTGCAACTGTCCACTTTTATTAAAAGAGTAGCAAAAGCGCATCGGACCACCAAACAGAATTCAACCTGCGCGACTAAACAGTATTATCAGAAAAATAAAGAGACCACGTTGGAGAATTGTAATATTGTTGGATGGTATGTCTAAATTTCCTATATTTACTTTTTTTTTCTATCAGATCTTCAGCCAAAGGGTCAAAGGTCGCCTAGATAGTGCAGATGACAGATTTTGTATAATAAAAAAGGGAGTGAGGATTCGTTTGTTTGTAACGACATGCTTCCGTTCTAATAGGCTATAAATTATATATACATAATCACATGCTAAACTTACTCCATAGGAACACAATTCTGCGAGAAAAAAAGAAAGTTGATGAATCCGCGGGAAACGGAGTATCTGGCAATCGTAGGTAACCATATATAGTATACAGTATACAAGCTAGAATGGTTATTGTTGCTCCCGACAGAACAAAATTACAACATGTTAGTTTTTAATTAGGAATGGGCATCACAGCACTCAGGACATTCTTATTTATAAGCGGCCCGTCCGCATCTTCAGCAGCAAGTGCAGCGTTCTAATTCAAATTCAAGATGAAGTCCAGCGTTATAATAGCTCTGCCAGCTCTCCTTGAAAAATATCTCCTCGTCCTTTTCCCACAGATCTTTCCAACGGTCACAGAATGTTCCAGTCACCCAATTGTAAGGATTCTTCTTAAAAAGTATATCCCCAAGGCCTCCAGAAATTTATTTTGGCTTGTTTACTATTAGTAATGTTAGTTAATCAATGCGGATTAACATCTGTTTACTCGTTGTATTAAATTTTATTCTGATCACGTTTCAGACTGTAGTAATGAGATGGCAGATTGGATTATTTAAAAAAAAGGAATTGACCCTTTTCCACTCCCCTAGACGTACTGGGTATATAGTATCAGATCTATAGTTTGCAGAGCAATCGGTAATCGCTGAGTGATGTGGTCAGCATCCCACCTTTACTTCTCAGGACTTCACCTGGTACCCATTAAGATTATGTCGATCTGGAAGCCGAAGTACATTTTTTTTAAAAGGCCAATCGCCTTTGTTAAATGAAAACGAAGTCAGCGGACCCGCTAAATGTATGATTAACGATGGTTCAGGGGCGGTTAGCATATCTGGTTATAATGGAAACAGCGCGCATATGGGCCGGTCCAAAGTCTCAGAATTCCTATACTACCATATGGCGGTTATCCTCATCTCTGAGTGAACAATTCGTGATTCTTTTTCCCCTTTAAAGTCAGAGAGCATCTGCCCAGGAGACGAGGAACCAACAGTCGGCATACAAGTAAGCCAGATCTGTAAAACATATCATCTTCATCATCAGGTGCCTTGCCGACTGGCGTGGGTGATCGTCCTCTCCACAATCTGCGATCCCCTACAGCATGTATCAGTTGGTTTGCCGACACATCTCCATGCCATGCAACAAGACTGCCAAAAATCTCCATTCATTGTCTTTCTCTATCCCCCCTTCCACAGATCTTTCCAGTGGTCACTACATGTTCAATTTTCCCTCTTCTCATAACATGGCCGAAAAATGATGACATGACTCCCTCTGATGTCTGTGATAAGTTGTCTTCGGGTTCCCAAAATCTCTTGGTTGCTCTTTTTGGCTGTCAAAGGTAGTAAAACATATTTGCTCGTAAAATTCAAGTTCTGGAACAGGACCAAAGTCCAGAAGAAGACTAAACGCTAGGACTTTCCTTGGGAGTTTACAGCCAATGAACTCAAAGGAGAAGAAGATCCGCTGTTTTCAGTCTTCCGTCTTATGTACTGCCGATTATTTCTGTGACAGTTTTCCTGTCCCATTAGTAATTATCAAAGGAGAAGAAGATCCGCTGTTTTCAGTCTTCCGTCTTATGTACTGCCGATTATTTCTGTGACAGTTTTCCTGTCCCATTAGTAATTATCAAAGGAGAAGAAGATCCGCTGTTTTCAGTCTTCCGTCTTATGTACTGCCGATTATTTCTGTGACAGTTTTCCTGTCCCATTAGTAATTATCAAAGGAGAAGAAGATCCGCTGTTTTCAGTCTTCCGTCTTATGTACTGCCGATTATTTCTGTGACAGTTTTCCTGTCCCATTAGTAATTATCAAAGGAGAAGAAGATCCGCTGTTTTCAGTCTTCCGTCTTATGTACTGCCGATTATTTCTGTGACAGTTTTCCTGTCCCATTAGTTATTGGTTAGGACTATCATCGCAGCACTTCGGGTAGATCTATAAATGCACTGGCCTCCTCAATGTCGCATAAACGTTAAGTGACTATGTTTTTATGTGTTGCGTAATCAAACCCACTATTTCCTTATTGAAATGCGCATGACTGACCGCTCCAGGATGCACTCTATATCTGTACTGGAATCTGGAGTCACGCCGCTCTCCAAAATCGTCTTCAGGATATCCATCTCGCCTGCCAGGATGCGCAACTTTCAAAATCTCTCATTGTCTCCGCCGTCTCTATTTTCCTTCAAATGCCCTGTTATCACGACGTACTCCAGCTTTTCGCTTGTGGCCTTAAATCCGCAGGCTCCCCTGACATCTTTTCCCCCTCTTAGGATTAAATGACATATAGGCTTATTGTCAGTTTTAAGTTTCTCATAAACAGCTAATTGTGTAGCTGGTGAAAGACAGGCAGTTGGGAATTTACGTACCGTTAAAAACCCGCCCTCCAGTGTTGCGTTCCATCCAGGAAGACTGACATCATTGCTAGCTTTGTCGATAGACCAGTCGGTGTAGTTCAAGGACACATACTCCTCAAATCGTATCCGGTTTGTCCGGTAATGGCCGAGTGAAGTATAGGCGACAATTTCGTTTATAAACGCCTTCAGTCCGATCAGCTCTGCTACCCGGTGGCCATCCTGGACGTCGATACCCATTGCTATGGCAAGGGGGTAGAACACGAAGGAGCAAATCCACTAAAATTTGTATAAACAAACAGTGATTGAGTATCATTGTGATGTGATTTAGACATGATGTTACAAAGAGCGTAAGTATGTGTTATATTGTCTGATACCCATTAGTACAAGACCGGGTCCATCCCAGACCTGTAGGCTACTGGTCAAGAAAAATCCTGCCACTTGTGATAGATTGAATCCTGACCTCTCTCTAAGGCAATCGCGCATAGACTTTGTCACCACCACACATTTTATTATATGCTGGAACCTTTCCGTCTATCCTGAAGATAGTGTTCATGTTTTGCTATAGAAAGGCATGGAAATTACAAACTGTGGTGATGGCGAGTGTGACTAGCAAGACCAGAACGAGTTAAGGAAAATCTTCCCCAGTTAGAGAGCACGTGATTTCATGACCGTTGTCGCCATCACTTGTGCTTATTCTCAGACGCTCGGGTCTCAACCTTTCGGCAGTCATTCTTACCCTTTATTGATATTCCCTTCCTGATATCTCCCTCCGGCACATAGCATTGTGTTTCAGTGAATCTACCTCAGTATCTGAATCATTCATGTCCCACGTGAAACATATTTATATTTCGTAGTAGAGGCTGGCCTTGAAATCTTTTACTATTTATAATTCCCACACACAGCACCTATGGGTATGCTCGATGTACTATGATGTCGATTCTTAAATCAGTAATCAGTAAACCAAAAAGTAGGTTTTCATCGTTGCCAATCTGGAAGCTGCCTCACTGCTGCTTTCTATAGGTGTACCTTTCTTTAATATAATAAACAAACAATGTATTGATCGGCACTCATAGCAAGAAGTAAAAAGATAGAAGGACACACTTGACAACATAAAAATCAAAAACTATAGTTAGCGTGCATGGAATATAACCAGTCAACTCAAAATGGCATGTGCGCCCCATTATGAAAACAAGTGTCTTAAGATACACGACGAGCTAGGCGCCCCTAAAAAAAGGTACCTTCTTTGGCCATGTCTTCGTACATCTTGAAATACCCAACTATAGAATATGGACACATTTCGTCTTAAACAATTGAAATGGCATCACAGGTTACAGAAATTATTTTAACCAAGCACCCACAGCGTTACGATCCGATATGTTTATAATTGTTGTTGACTTGTTTATTCGACCTATGCTTCAAGTAGCAGTTTGGTTGTCATGTCCGTCTTGATCTTTCCTTTGAGTGTTGACTAAATTCCCGTACCTCTCCCCCACTGCACCATTCTTTCCGGACCATTATGATATATGTGTACCTTTGCACTGTTTATCGCTCCTAATACCCTGGAGAAAATATCCAAGGATCGATAACTACCCTCAAACTTTGAAGTGATGCTTGCCAATCTGCATGGAGCTTGCCTTTATCCACCTTGTTTTATGCATGTAAAGTAAATAACCCTTTTAACGCCACATACGGATCAGATGTATCGTGTTGGACACATTTTTAGACCAACTGCTACTTGATGAGTGCGGTGATCGCTTCACTTTGTTTCCTAGGAAACTTCCCTGTACGCATTTGTTGTGTATTCAATGATAAAACTCCGACTTGATGTGAAGTCAAGACTTTCAAGCTGGTTAGCAGAGTTAGGCTATAAAGGCCCAAAGTATGTGCACGATACACACTCACTGAGGAGCTATAATAAGAGCAATGTCACATAACTGGACCCTACAGGGCAAAAACTTATATATAGAGAAGTAAATTAGAGACAGAAATGAATCATAAGAAAGGGCTTTAATGGAGTAAATACTTGTGATGAAAGATAGGACGGCTTATTACCAGTTGGTTGAGCACCTATACCTTACTAATTAGTGATTAGGAAGGATTATCACCACAGCACTCCGGACAGATCCATGGGTGCTCCGATCTCCTCCTCAAAAAGCTCCACAAGTGTAAAACGACTGATGATGCCTGTTCTATGGTGGTTAATGAAACGTCTTGTCCTCTTAGTGAAATGTTCATTTTTTATTTCTTACAGCTCCAGGCTGCACCCCCATGTCCATCAGTCTAGACAGAGATATCATGTCATGTCCTTTGGCGTGCTCCTTGGTACGATAAGTGCAGAGCATAACATCACTTCTGTTCAGTACTGGGCCAGCCATAGCAACCCAAGTGTCAGCAAGATAGTCTGCACGCTCGTTTCCTTAAACATCCGCATGACCTGGTACAAAGTTGAAGGTTAGGGCAGATATTCGTGAAGTGCTTAGTGTTGTTATCCATTCTTGCCTGATAAATCCAGCTTGGATTTTTCAAAGCCCATTCATCGAATCACTAAGAATGCATACGTATGTGAACTTTTGAGTACTAAGCCATGCTAAAGCCCTTGTTACAGCCATAGTTTCCATTGTAAGGCTACAAGTTGTAACAGCAAAGGCGCCATTCATCTCTTTGATGGGTTTTTCCTCTGAGTTTACCGTGAATGCCCATGCACTTCGCTTGTCCCTACTTACTGACCCATCTGTGTAAACTACAGCATCACCTTCATCTGTGTTCACGTCAATCAGTGTTCTGACTACAGTGTCAACAATACCAGGAATCTGCTCTCTAAAGCTTCCATCAAGTGTGATATGGACTGAAATATTAATGTTTGAAGAGGGAGGCATAATTATCCATTCAATTCCAAAATTAATGTCAGTAAGGCGGCAAACATGTTTGATGGCATCCTCAGCCTGACCCATCCTGGATTTGCCTCGTTTTAGTCTACTCCTTTTTTGCGTGATTAATTCCCCATAAAGTAAGTGTCGACGGTCTGACTTCATTTTGAGGAAAGCAACAACCTTGGATAGCTTGATTCTGTTTACCATTGTAGCGAAACTATTATATATCACATGGATTTACAGGAGGTGTCTCTAGTGCAACCAAGAATAATACGCATTGCCTTGTTTTCAATTTTTTTCCAGTCTGTTCATCTGTGTGGTGCTAAGTGTCATGATCGCCAACGCATATTGGATTGGATTGGCTTTTTACCCCACCAGGACATCACACAAGCGATAAACACCCGATGACACAAAGTGCCACCATGCGGATGAGGATCACCGTGGAGAGGTCCCAGAAACCGCGTTCAGACATTTGGCCATATTGATGGCCTGCCTATATTACGGCCCCTGGCAAAAGCCAGAGTGGGGCTTCAAATAACAAAAAATAACGTCCTAAGAAGGACGTAAGAACGCATATTCAATGGTGGAGAGAACTAATGCACAATACCACTTTAGAAGTAGCCGTTGCTCGATGTTTGCAGCTCCCATAACTTTTATTGAGGAGAGAACTTTCTTGGCTTTGGTTATAATGTGGTCTACGTGTTTTTTAAATGCTAAGCTTATGACAAATGTTGTACCAAGGTATTTCATGGAATCAGATCTCTCCACGTCAGCGCCACAGAGTTTTACTATCGGCATTGGTGTATTGGAAAGGTGATTATTCAATGAGAAGCAGGTGACTGTTGCTTTTGATGGATTAATTGTTGCCCCTGAGTGGAGGATAAGCAAATGACAAGAGGAAGAACTTTCAACTGTAAGTTATATCAGAAACAACTTTGCACACAAGGGCGCCTGAATCTGAGGATTAATGAACAACTTTAAACCCCCCCCCCCCCACAACTATTTTATTGTTTTAAAAAAAAAGAGGTGGGGGATTGCACCTCCCACTAATTTGTAGATGGCTAAGCCCCTTCCCTTTAAAATTTGTAGCGGGCTAAGCGGCCTGACCCCATAACTGTTTTTGGACGTTCTCCTTGTATGCGTTTATACATTACATATTATTATATTTACTTGTCAGTTATCATATAATAATAATAATAAGTACTATTATTATTATGTTCTTAAATTAGGCTTAAACACCCCCCCCCCCCTTGAATCCTCGTCTATGAGAAAATTATAAGGAGCCTACACTGTTTTCTTTGAATCGGCGCCCTGTATGCATAAATTTATAAAAATTAAGAAAACTGAGTCCTACCTGCAGGGTCAACCCTTGGACGTTGACGAGCTCACCGAGCCAGTTTAGGACATAGTTGACCATCTTCATAACACTGACGACAGCGATAGAATTGGCAATTATGGCTGCTCCCAGTGTCATGGCTGTTGTAGCCCCGCTGGAGGCTGCATCCATCACGCTCTGGTACCTGCGGCAGATTAACACATGATACTGCTGTTATTGGCACTTTTCCGTATTTCCAACCGGCAGTGCTATACTGTGCTATGCGGAGGTAGAGGATTCACATCCCATCGCAATTGCGAGTGTGACAAGCAAAACCTGCCGCCGTTAAGAAAAGTCTTTTACAGATGGAGCAGGGGATTTCAGGACCGTTGTTGCCATCACATGTATTCATTTTTCTTCCTCTCCGGATCTCGGCTTTCAACATTTATGCAGTCAGTTTGTTTTCTTTATTCCCATCTTCTTCCTGACCTCCCTCCCCCTTACACGTACCACGGTCCTTGACATTTGTTCCCACTAATCTACTAGGATACTTGCCTGTATCATTCATGTCCCACTTCCACACATCTTTAAACTTATCATAATACCCAGGCAAGATTGCTGTCTGAAAGTTTGCCTGCTTTTACACACGAGTGCCATCAAACAGAAATTTAGACAGAGGCAGCCAGCGAGAGAAGATTTTTCAAAACCTCTTGCCGTGTCGCACTGAAGTGTTTAATCACACAAACGGATAAGTTTGCGATATCAAGATAGGGAGAAGCATGATCACTAACGAAACTCGGAAAGGTAATTGGTGTGATGATATGATACCCATGATGCTGATGCAATATGGCAGATGAGATCTTGAAATGCCCAGGACTTGTTGACACTGTTATGACAGACTTTTTACCAACTGCCTGGACTCCTCCTGGTAATTATTAATCCAAGTTCAACTGAAGCTTTATGATTTCATATCAGAGGTGTATTACCAGGTAGTATATTCTTTTAAAATTAGGAAGACCCAACCTAAAGTCAGACTTGGTACCGCGATAAACTCAGCTGGCTGCATATCGTGGTATGGTGCCGGGTACTCAGTAAAGATGGGTACCGTGTATGTCGTGGGGAAGTGATGACCATGCTTACCGACCTAGTGCCGATTGGTCAGTAAAATATTGGTGCTCTTCCCATATACCCGATGCGTCTCAAAAGTGTGAAAGGGGATATTTACTTTACTAACAGAGATATGATTTCTGAGACAAATGTTACGAATACCTTGGACGACCAGAGTAACTAACAACGATTGTTTGAAAGAAGCAAATGAAAGACAAACAGTTCTTTGGCCACATAATGAGAAGAGAGACATTGGAGAACATCGTGACAACTGGAAAGATCAGTGAAATAAGGGGTAGAGGCAGACCAAGAGAGATGATGCTGGATGGGCTGAAATGATGGCATGGGGGATATCAAGAGAGCCGTTCCAGGCAACCAGGGATCGTGATCTGTGGAGATTCACGAGCACCTATGCTAGTTAGCAGGGCACATGATGATGATAATAGTCTATTAAATACATCAGACACATACAGACACTGGACCATATCTTCCGGTCAAAATGGACGTTAGGCAGCGGCACTGTTTGAAACAGAGGCAAATTTTTAGTGCTTCTGCCGGACGGTGGCCGATGCATTTTTGCACCATTTGTAGACTGGATATAGTTTCGTCGCCCAGCTTCTGAGTTTAATGCATGGCGTGACCCTGTGAGCTGCGGATTGCATTTGGAATGTTTTTTTCGACTGTGACCAACGTGGTGGTGTGAATTGTAGATTCAGAAAATGGCGCGATGCCTGTCGTGCAGTGTTGTGGTGATCGCGTGGGCAACTGCTGATCTGTTGGTGACTTCTGCTACCATCAATGATGAACTGCAATTCTAATACTGTGATAAACATTCTGTGTGTTTTTCGTTGGCACAGGAGCGGAGCAAAGATGGGGTGACCCGTTTGACATGAAGCTGAAACTACGACTACTAGACTACCAGACATAAAATAAAGAGGTGACAATCATGTCAATCAATCAGCTGTCGTCTATGCAGTAAAAATTGCTTGTACTTGATCTTCAACATTCTTTCACGTCTTGAACATTCTCATAGCTCTTCGTCCATTGCTTGTTGGTATTCTCTCACTTGTGTCTATATAGTTCTATATCTCATGCCTTCCCCTCCCCCCTCCAGTATAGTTTATTTTTAATTTTTAAAGAGTATTGTGTTTAACGTGGCTCTCCATCCTCCCTTCCTTCTTTTTAAGCATCTGTCTTTCATTTCCCGTCTCTCTTAAACCCTTGTATTTTGATTACTTTTATTTCCACAAAACACGGCCTATTCTTCCGTATATCCATATCTCTAGAGATTCACTTCGCTTTTCTAGTTGCTTGTTCTTTGTCCAGGTTTCCCTAATACACATTAAGGTTGAGGAAAGCAATCGTTTAGACCCCCCCCCCCCCCCCCACCACCATGAAAAAAATGTTGTGGGTGCCCCGCTGAGGTGAGATGCCTTCTAAAAAAAATTGCAGTTGCACTAAGTACTAGACATTCTCTTTTAAGTGATTGTATAGACACATCATATTGTTTCATATATGGTATTATATGTGCTTTTCCTCATGCAACAATTAAAAAACAAATCTTCGCGTTCACCTGCTGTAATCGGTCGGAAAGCTCTGGTCCTTCGTCCACATCCGGACTTTAGTCTTGCCCCAGAACCTGAGTGTTGCGTGCACATCTTTTTTACAGATCTAGATTATTTGTATGCAGACTCTTGGTTTCTTGCCTCCCCGGCAGATGAACATCGACTTCAATTGACCCCCCCCCCCCGGGTCCCCCCCCCCCCCCCGCCGTTTAAAAAAAAAATATAGTAAAATTTGTGTGTCTCCCTGCCACAGCTCACCACATGCAAACACAATACAAAGCGTTTTGTCTCACTTGCTAACAAAGTGAAAATCGTCTTCCTCCAGTTTCGCATTTCTTCGCGTCTCTGGCACTGCCAGCTTGGACAGTGATAAAGCAGCGGGTGCAGACATGACTGAGGCGGCCAGAAGGTGGTCCGCAGAGATCTGGCGAAAGTAGTATTCACATTATTGCTATTACAACATAATGAGTTCAGTAAATATATATTTTCTCTTCTCAAGATGTAAATGGGCGTTTTAGCATTAGTGAAATGAAATGACACTATCAGGGCTAGCGAAGTCATGACTAACTGTTTATAATCTTTATGTTGTGCTATAGTACGTCACATAGGTATATATTATAAACAAAAAGACATGTACAAGTTAGCACTCATACATGGTGTTTGTAAAGTCTGGAAAACAAAGTATATGAAGTCATCAAATAAAGTGCTGTACAGTCAATCGTAAAGCTAAATGCAGTGACTGGCTGTTGTTTGCTGGAGTAATTCTTTGCACTCAAAAACAGAATGGCGATATCAACGGATGAAAGAATTGAGGACTTGAAAGAAGTAATCAGAATTACCATTTAAGAAATAACAACACATACGCTGCGAAAGGTATTTAATCAGATATGATGAGTCGTGTAAAGTCATATCTTGAGGCATACGATGGACATTTCCACCACTTGTTAAAATGAATATTTCATTGTTAGCTTCCCCAGAACAGCATTGGACCACAGCAGTAACTATTGTACTAAATGTAATGACTTTTAGAGCATAATTTAAATTACGTTATGTACTTCGTTTTTCAAAATTATTCTACATGCAAACACCCTATAGAAAGAAGTAGACAGATGGACATGCTAGACACTACAAAAATCGACAGCTTTGAATAATATAAAGTTTAGAATTATGAATTAAAATAGTTAAATGAATGTATGTGTAACATTAGCGTTTCACTTTTATGTTGTCTAGTGTGTCTTTCTATCTATCTATAACTTTGTATAGGTGCCCATCAATAGATGTCTATTTGTTTATAAAATATACTGTTTCTACAACTTCAGGGTTTACACATGTTTATTTTTGTGTAATATGTCACATAAAGTTTACTGTCTAGTCCCCTGTTCCGTTTTGTCCTGTGCAATCCTTTCGCTGCACAGGAGTAGTCTAGCACATCTGGCCTCTCTCAACAACCTTCGTTTTAGGGTTTCTCATTTGCGTCGTCGTTTTTTTCAGTCTATTTGTTTCCAGTTTCAGTACCTGTTTAGTTCATCTCTATCGGATTCGCTTCGAAATTAGCCCAATATATTGCCATCATCTATTTCTTATTTGTGTTGATACAAGCATTGGTCCAGCAATTTCTCTTGTTTCTTCGGCTTTCTTGAATTCATACCATTATCCCATTTAATCTTCATCTATTCCTTTAGCTATTTGCTTTTGAATGCTTTTACTGTTCGCTCCGTGTCTTTCGTGGCTCTCAAACTTCACTGTGCACTAAATGTACAGGTTTCAACTCACGTCCCCGAATTATAATTTTGTGTGTGTGTGTGTGTGGATAAATTAGGAAAGCAGCTCCGACAAAAGCCAGGGCGGGGCTTCAGTATAACAAAAAATTGCACCCCAAATGGGGACTACTGTTTATTTAATACGAAGTCAGTCCAGTGTGGGTAGGGTCCTAATCAGGGCTGTGTTAACTGTCCAGAGCCCCATCTTAATATAGCCCTTAGATGTGGTTAAAAAAAACAACGTACACCTAACATAATGTACAATCCCATAATGCTTCCAGTAACTGTAGACATCCCATTGGCCATGAGACAGTGGAGCTCCGACGGTGTGACGTCATCCAGGAATGGGCGAATGATCATCAGGCTGTCCACCTGCATGTACACAGATTAAATACACAGATTAAATACATAGATTAAATGCACAAATTAAATACATAGTATACACGCACGGATTAAATGTATTAATTAAATGCACAGATTAAATACATAGATTAAATGTATTAATTAAATGCACAGATTAAATACATTGAATACACGCACGGATTAAATGTATTGATTAAATGCACAGATTAAATACATAGATTAAATGTATTGATTAAATACACAGATTAAATACATAGATTAAATGCACAGATTAAATGCATAGATTAAATACACAGATTAAATGCACAGATTAAATGCACAGATTAAATACACAGAATAAATGCACATGTTAAATACCTAGATTAAATGCACAGATTAAATGTATTGATTAAGTGCACAGATTAAATGCACAGATTAAATACACAGATTAAATACACAGATTAAATACACAGATTAAATTCACAGATTAAATGCACATACACACACACACACACACACACACACACACACACACATATATGCTTTCATTTACATAATGTTATAGAATCACTTAACCCTAGCATTTTTTGGCTGCTGTGATTTTTATAGGCAAAGTTACGTTTGGTTAGTTTGCCACTGGCAAATAATATTGCCGTCTGCCATCCGCAAACATACATTAGAGATAAATACAGTTGTTGAGTTCGAAAATCAAAATTTGACAGGATGATGTAAACCTCACACTGAACTAGGAGCAGCGGAAGCGTAGTGACGCTCGCCTGCTAGCCTGAATGTCTTGGGTTTGATTCCCTATTGAGGCGGATTTTTTTTTCTTCACACTTGATCTTGGCTTCCAGGTCGACCCAGCCTGAAAACGGAGTAATGTCCTGGGAAGTAAGACTGCTAGTGGGATGTTGGCCACATCACTCGTAGAGTGCCGGTTTGTCTATAAAATATAGGTTAACATACGTTAATGTTAACATAAATTCGATTTTCGTCCTTTGAAATGTGTGAGGTTTTACTGTATAACAAAAATTAATACTTACAGGCCCAAGAAAGATGTTAGATGAAGCATTCAGAGCTTCTGCGGGCGATACGCCCAGACAGGTAGCCAAGAACCGACCGATTACTTTCAGCACAACATGCAGAATTTTGAGGTGCTCTAACACCGTAAGCACACACATGACAAAAACTATCAGTGGGATAATCTGAGGGATAAATATCAAAGATAAACAATAAAAACATGACAAAAATTACCTGTGTGACAATATCAGGATTTAAACCAAAGAAAAACAAGCAGTAAACACGTGACAAATACGATTAGTGGTACTGTCTGCGGATAGAAACCAAAAAATATACTAAACACATTGCAAAGCGATAAGTGGGGCAATACAAAGTCCTACAATTCAGTAATGACACTAAATCCCTAAAAATTAAAATAATCAACAGCTAAAAATATAACCTGTAATTGATTCAAAGTAAGCCCCTTGTGCATTGATACAGCGAGTGGCATGATCAAACAAACACTGGAACAACATCTGTAGTTCTTCTATTATTATGGCTCTCACAGTCGGTGTTACGGCCCTTTGTATGTCATCAGTGTCGTCAAAGAAGCGTCCTTTCAATGTAACTTTTATTTTTGGAATACAAAATAATGGCAGGGAGATAAAAAATGGGAAGCAGAGTGCATGGTTGAGAACACACACTCATATTAGGGCGATAAAAAATGGGAAGCAGAGTGCATGGTTGAGAACACACACTCATATTAGGGCCAAAACGTCTCGTACAACTACCGCCCGGTAAGCCGGTACTTTGTCATGAAGAAGGTACAAACCAGCAAGCAACTTTTTGCTTGTCCAAATCTTGCACTTAAATTTTACGAATGATCTCTCTATTAACACCAAATTCATCTACCACCATACCCATAGTCAAAAAATGATCTTCATGTATCCGTTCTCTGACTTTTGCAATGAGATCCTTATTACGAACAGAAATTGAAAGTCCAGGCCTAATTGCATTAATAATCACTTCCACGACACTTTTGGATCGTGAAAACCACGTGAAAATCTATGCACAATTATCCCTATAAACTTGTTGCATCAATTCAGCTGTCTCAGTGGCGCTTTTCTGAGTTTTAAACAGAATTTAATTTTGGCTTTTTGCTCCATGCTGATTACGTAACAATGCGCTTCTGACTAGGTCAACAAAATAGCAGTTTGTTTGCTGTCTGCTTATCAGGCGGTGATGAAAAGTTGTCAGATCATAGATGAAAGTTGGATTCCGTGCTTTGCTTCATAGATGGCCTTTTTGTCTTGGCCATAATCAAATCCCGCGTAATATGACCTCATTACCCACCTAGTGCCGATGGTCTGAAAAAATACGGGCGCTTTTCCCATTTACCCGATGCGCCTAAAGGCGTGAAAAAAGATCTTTACTTTACTTACTCATAATCAAATCCGTCTCATTACCTACTTTGTATAAAGATATAATGAAAAGGTATGGTTCGTCCATCACGAGTGATGAAGACCACATTCATCCAAAGTAGTAATGATCAATGATTATGAGTAAGAAGGTGGCTGATTAGTCCAATATGACCCTGGAAAGTTCTTGAGCAATGCGTACAACCGATGGAAGCCACAGTAAGTGTGTGATTAGCAGTACGATTCTTTCTAGTCTGCCTCCGTTTCTCTACCTGTGCAACCTCCGCTGCCTGGCAGGCTGATGCACCATGTCTGAGGGACGTACGCCATCCAGAACGGTCTTGTGCAGCAGCCTCCTACGCCACTGTGTTGATGCCAAACTAATTGAGAGCAGTCTCTAGTGTGTCCTTATAGAGCTTTTTTTTTTGTCCTCCCTAGGACATCTTTCCTTGCTGGAGCTCACCATAAAATAGTCTTTTTTGGGAGGCGAAAAGAAAAAGTTAACAATAAACATTTGACAAAAACAATCAGCCTGCAGTGTGAGGATAAAAACCAAAGATGAACTGTAAACACAGGACAAAGCGGGCAACCTCATTATAGAAACCAAGGCTTAATACACACGCATTATAGACTCTAAGGATCCAAACCAAAGTTAACGAAAACATACACAAATTACCTGTAAATCAATATACAGTTAAAAAACGAAGATAACGATCATTACACGCCTACTCAAAAGTATTTTCTTCATGCCTACTCAAAAGTATTTTTCTACATGCCTACTCAAAAGTATTTTCTACATGCCTACTCAAAAGTATTTTCAAGAACTCCTAATATAAGTCTCCCATCTCTCTCTCTCTCTCTCTCTCTCTCTCTCTCTCTCTCTCTCTCTCCCATCTTTCTTCTCATCATCGCTCTCTCTCTCTCTCTCTCTCTCTCTCTCTCTCTCTCTCTCTCTCTCTGTTTTCTTTCATCGCTCTCTCTCTCTCTCTCTCTCTCTCTCTCTCTCTCTCTCTCTCTCTCTCTCTCTGTTTTTCTGTCTTGTTCTCATCTGTCTGTGCATCTATCTTTATCGTTTTCTCTTTCAAAGGAAAATTTACACGAGTACTGTCTGTCTCCTTTTTTAAAAAATATTTAAAATTAACATGTATGTGCAATTATTATTATTATTATTATTATTATTATTTATTATTATTATTATTATTATTTTATTATTGTTATTATTAATATCTTAGGACGGGAAAGTACAACATGAAAACTGAATGTTATGGCAGGTTTATTGAGAAGTTCAAAAGGATAACAGAGCACTGCTTTTCTGATCCGGTAGCTTCTGCAACTTTCATTGCTGCAAGCCTAGCGATGTTACTTTTCCTCTTAGTTTTCAAAACAGGCCGAAACAGGGATCATGCTATGAGTAATATGACCTTATACAAAATACTGCACAAGCTTTGGGCTATGACGACATACTTACACGAAAAACCAGACCAACATGTTCGAAGTCCGAGCCGTAGATAAAGTCTGCTCCAGCACCAGAAAATGAGAGGATTTTGGTTATGATGGCACCAAACCACTGAAGGGCACGGTAGACAATAGGGACCTTCAGCACAATGAGGGCGAAAAGGTACTGGAGAACCAGTCCGCTTAATACCGGGCGCCATTTCACCTGACAGAGATATTTGAGCATTCTGAATTTTAACTGTTGTGACTAAAAAAAATACGATATAGTTATTAAATTTGATACAATATCTATATATTAACAGCACATATGCACGCAATCATTAACTCAAACAGTATGTTAAGTTTTCTTGCACACCCCCTTTTTTTAAGTATTTAATTCCTCGAGACTGACCTTGACCCCCCATGATCGACCGTACCAAAAATTGATACCAGGTAGTATCCTAGGAAGTTAAAGCGACCGTGCCCAATGCGCCACTGGCTTGAAAAGAGGGGTTTGTACTTGCGTTCAAATACCTGTCGGCACTCAGTGGATGATGTGGTCAACATTACGCCGGCCGCCTTTACTACCCATGGCTAAACCTGGTAACCACTCAAATTTGCGATTTTTAATTGGAGAAATAAAAATTTCTGAAAGAATGTGGATTCTTACCTGCCATCTCACACAAGGACGCCATCAAGATATAGGAACAAGTGTACTTCGACGCATAACAAACCACACCGTGAACTTTTCTTTTAAAAAATGTTTAGTTATCCGATGGCGTTTTTATTAGATGATGGGGAGTTTTCATTAGTTGATGGAGAGTTTTTATTAGTTGATGGGAGAGCTTTTATTAGTCGATGGGAGAGTTTTTATTAGATGATGGGGAGTTTTCATTAGTTGATGGGAGAGTTTTTATTAGTTGATGGGAGAGTCTGTACGCTTTAAAGCTATCGATGACCAAGATGCAAAAATACTGTCTATTGATTGGCTGGACTCTAAGCTATCATTGTGTACAATTTAAAAAAAAAAATCACTCATTAATTACAAACATTTTAAATGGGAAAATTATGACAAGAGTATGTTCCTTTCAATAGCTGTGCGTTTTTTTTCTTCTTAAACTCTATAGTATATAGACAGAATACGCATACAAAAGACATAGTCACTGGAATAGCAGATCAGCTGAACTTTGTTCTAGAAGGTTGTTACTTGTTTTTGTTGAGTTATGAACCAACATCCTATCACTCGGGTCATTCTCATAAGCACCCGTCCCAATTTTCAGCAGCCAGCGCAGTTTATATTTATGTGGTACCAATAGCAATGTGATCAAGGAGGGATTTTCTTTCTTTTTCTTCAAATTTGACCTTAGCTTCACGTCGACCCAGCCTAAATTTGGCACTTGGTTATGTCCTAGGGGAAAAAAACACGCCGGCCGCTGAGATGTTGACAACATCGCCCAGTTGAGTACATATTGATCTATACAAATCATTAGTTTAGCACCATATGAAAAAAAATGTCTGAGAAATATCATGTACATAAGAAAGGATAAATTCGACAAGTGTGAGCAGATTAGAGAAATGCATGGACAAATACCTATATCGAACTGCTACAAGACAAAGAAGGTGGGGTTATACAGGGTACAGAGGCAAGATAAGTAGAGAATTACACAACAGGCAATGTAATGGGAAACAAACGGCCGGAGAAGAAGAGGATGTCAAAGAGAAACATTAAGAAGAGAGCGAACCCACGACCTTCCGATCCGCTGTGTTAATGTTGCAATTATTTATTATAGAAGAATGCAAGAAAAGTATTATATTGTTAGAGTGATGAAGAACGCATGTTGTTTCGTTGGACCCAAATGTTTTAAGAAATGTACATTATATTATTCAAGCCACATTATATACAGGATAAGATGTTCACTTCAAGCTATAATTTAAAAGAGAATCATAGCGAGGGAGAGGTGCTGGCGTAGTGGCTAGACGCTGGCTTGCCGGCTCGAAAATCTTGGGTTCCATTCCGCTTGGTGGTGAATTTTTGTCAAAAGTGACCTAGGTCCCTGAGATCGCGTCTTAAATGGGTATCAGTTAATGTCATGGGAAGTAAAGGCAGTCGGCATGATGTTGACTACTTCGTCCACTGAGTGCCGACTGGTCAATCAAAATATCAGTTTAGCAACAAATGCCCAGATTTAAAAAAAAAAAAAAAGTCAACCCGATGTTGATCACCTCACCTGTCTAGTGCCGACTGGCATTTCAAAATATCAATTTAGCAACAAATGCCCAGATTTAAAAAAAAAACAGTCGACCCGATGTTGATCACCTCACCTGTCTAGTGCCGACTAGCCTTTCAAAATATCAATTTAGCAACAAATGCCCAGATTTAAAAAAAAAACAGTCGACCCGATGTTGATCGCCTCACTTGTCTAGTGCTGACTAGCCTTTCAAAATATCAATTTAGCAACAAATGCCCAGATTTAAAAAAAAACAGTCGACCCGATGTTGATCGCCTCACTTGTCTAGTGCCGACTAGCCTTTCAAAATATCAATTTAGCAACAAATGCCCAGATTTAAAAAAAAACCAGTCGACCCGATGTTGATCGCCTCACTTGTCTAGTGCCGACTGGCCTTTCAAAATATCAATTTAGCATTACACCCAAGGGGTCACTGGCATGTAAATGGGACCTTTGTGATATTTACTGACAATTTGTTAATCATAGTGAAATTATTGTCAAGGCACGTAAAATATTTGGGAGTTTAAACTCACCTACTGCAGAGGACTAACTTACCTTGTGTGGGTGCGTGGAGGTCAGAAGGAACATGGTCAAAATACCGACGATGCCAGTCAAAGAGATCAGATTTGATGGACGGACCATTATTACTTCTGTGATCAGAGTCACACCTGTGACCAGAAGACATAACACAACCAGCGACCTGTGGAGTAAATATTAATCTTTAGCTTGTGTTCTGTGGGATCAATGAAAAAAAAAACAGTAGTAACAGGTGGTCATTATCACGCAAGCCGCCATTACTTCCTAGAAAAATTTCTGATACACAGCATTTGTGGGAGAAAATTATAATGTTATGTTTGATGGAGTTAATGAAAGGGAAGGAACTAATTTGGTTTCTTCTTCGAATCTGAAGAGAATGGTCAGGAAGCCAGCATTAATTGGGATCCGATGTCGGGCACATATATTCAACACAGGACATATTTGATGGAAATAGACGTGCAGTCCTTGATTTATAAAGGTTATAATTACTTGTCAATTCATACTCGTTAAGGGAAAGTACCAACAGTTTATAGTCATGTAAAACGATTTTCTTTGTTCCTAGCAGAATTTTGTTATTCTGTCAAAGTCGTCTTGAGGTAGGATGCAATGTTTGGTTATTTGAAGCCCCACCCTGGCTTTTGCCTGGGGTCCTGAATATAGCCGGGCCACAACTGTGGTCATAACTGCTTAAAGGGGTTTCTGTGACCTCTCCACGGGTGATCCTCATCAGCATGGTGGCACTTTGTGTCACCGGGTGTTTATCGCTTGTGTGATGTCCTGGGGTACAACAAACAAGCAAGTTTACAGAATGTGTGCCTCTATATGTTTTATCCCCCTCTCCCCCCCCCCCCTGTGGTTTGCAAGTTTTCGTTATTTTCAAGCCACACCCTGGCTGTAGTCAGGAGCCACAATATAACCTAACGGTTTAAAGCGGTTTCCGGGACTTTTCCTCGGGTTATGCTTATCCGCATGGTGGCACCTTGTGTCAGCGAGTGTTTATCGCTTGGTGGATGTCCTGGTGCGGTAAAATAAACTTTACAGAATTTGTGATTGTCATGTTATCCACCCTAATATGGAAGCATTTTTTAAGGGGGGGGGGGGGGGGGGGGGTTATTATAATTATTATAAAGCCACACCCGCCTGTTGTCAGGGCCCCTAGACCTCATTCTCATTCGAACGTGGTTACTTTGTGTCACGTGGTGTTTATCACTCGTTGTGATGTTGAAAGTCAGTCAGTGAGTCAGTTAAAGTACTGCGACCCTCACGACCATGAAGATTGAAGAAAAAGGGAAACGTTTTTGTTGTGGGAAAAAGAGGAAGGAGGGACGGGGGGGGGGGGGGGGGGGTACTTTGTTAAGTTTTTGCCATTGCGAGTTTAATTTACTTACAAACCTATCGGGTTTGTTCATAAGAATGCGGAATAAGAAGCCGGAGAGAAATACAACAGACTAGCATAAAATGGCGCGGAACGAAATATTCATAAGCCAGAAGCAGGAATCAGAATTAAGCACGTAGAACAAGGTAGATTTCAGTTTAGTCTACGTGATCTGCATTTGTGAATTATAATTACACACGGGGCGGTAGAAAGCTTGTTTTTTTTTTTTTTAGATGTTTGGAACGGTTAGGCGTACATACATGAATTCTAGTTTAGTTTGGCTGAAAAAAAAAAAAAAAAATAGAATAGAAGATGCGAATTGCATTGAGAGAGAAAAAAAAGTTTAGAAGTGCTATGTAGAACCTGTGTGGTTACATACACGCACAACACGGACAGTAAGCAAACAACCTGAAAAAAAAAAAAACATTTACTAGCAGCAGGTATGTGATTTCTGAGAAGAATGCAAAGCATATCATGGAAGGATAGAAACACAAACCAATCAGTCCTCATTGAAAAAGATAAAAGTCGTAAACTTTTTAGAACGATTCGACGGAAAAAAAAAAAAGGGGGTGGGGGTTGCTATGAGAATGAATCTACTCGAGAATCTGGTAACAACTGACAAGAGTGATTGAAAGAGAGCAAGAGGAAAGCAAAGAAATAAAATGTCTGGATGGTTTTGGCCAGATGGATGGGGTGGGGTGGGGGTGGGAGGGGCAAAACATTGAACTGATCCCTGCTTCTGGTAATTGTGTGAGATGGCGAAACGTGACAGTCTACGCTTACTGGCATGATGAAATAAATTGCACCATTAACCCGAGGACTTAATACGTCCTTGATTGCATAGAACTGCATGTTACTTTGGTCCGGTGTAGTCGTTACGAATGTCATAATTATAACTTTGCTGGAGCTTGAACGGGGTATCTGGGAATGTCCGATAATTCTGTCATCCAGAATTACATTTTTAAATTTCAGAATAGTTTGGTAAACCTTTAGGTAGAAGTCCGAAGGGGACAAACTAATCAATCGATCGGATCTGACGATTTCCCCACTTTTGATGTAGCAGTTTTGCTCTCAGTTAACAAGAGAGAGAGAGAGAGAGAGAGAGAGAGAGAGAGAGAGAGAGAGAGAGAGAGAGAGAGAGAGAGAGAGAGAGAGAGAGAGAGAGAGAAGGGGGGGGGGCAGACATACAGGCAAACATATAGACAGAGTCAGAGTTACTCATCTGAACAAAGCAGACACTAACAACAGATTGCACAATTAATTGCCTCACATATTTCGCTATAATTGGTGTCATGTACTCTACAATAAAGTGAAGCAAGCCACATACTTATGATTACAGAGTCGTTTGTGTTCTGAATTGTATTCTATAGTTCTATGAATGAAAAAAAAAAAAAGAATATTCTTAGACATTACTATTAGGAGTCAACCAAATCATGTTTGGTCAAACGTTAACCGACAATATGTGATAAAAGGACCCTTTTCCCCACCACCAGACGTACTGGATGTATATGGCTAGAGCTATATGTTAGAGACTAATCGACACTCGGTGGGTGATGGGTCAACATTCCATCGACCGCCTTTACTTCCGAGGACTTTACCTTGTACCCATTTAAGGCTGGTTCGAGCTGGGAGGCAAGATCATCTTTGAAATTCCATAACCTACTACCAGAAACAATGACCTCAAATGCTGGTTTGCAGTAAACGTAAAGGACTCTTTCCAGCCAATGTCGCAACGGGCATATTGTGGCAGACCCATTGTTCTCTTTTTGAAAAAAACCATCGGCCTTTTTGGGGAATGTGGTCGACATCAAACTGGACGCCTTTACTTCCCATGACATTTTGTGGAGCCAATTTAAAGGTGGGTTAGCCATAAACCTAGGTCAAGCATTAAAAAAAAAAATCTTCCAATCCCCAATGCAGATCTGATCTCAAGACCATCCGGTAGGCAGGCAAGCCTCTATCCACTAAGACACTAGCTTTTCTAGACTTCAGTGCTCTAAACATTGGTTTTTATTTTTGAGATTCTGAGCGTATTTTGTCCCTTCCTAAACTATCTTTTTGCGTTTGTTAGATCATTTAAAATACAAATTATTGCGCAGAAAAACGTTGTCTATAACACGGGGGTGGGGGCCACCAAGTACCGTACCTGTCAGTAACACAACGGGAGAAACATTGGACAACGGAAAGACGACTAAAATACCCCCCCCCCCCCCCCAACTCCCCCCTCCCTCCCAAAAAAAAATTATTGTCCAGTCTGTGCTTCTACATGTAGATTTGAAAATCCTGTCAACAATGATGGTTCTGGCTGCCGCCAACATCGAGCAGAGACTGCTTCTATTGCAGGGACTGGTCTTTCTCCCAAAGAATATACTTTATCATTCTCAGTCTCAGCCAGATTAAGACTCAGAAATGCTCTCTTCAACACAAAGGGCAACATGCTAAAAGTGGGAGAACCGTAATTGGGTTGGACAGAAGAAATCAGGCAGATCTGCAGCCTTAAGGCGAGAAATTGATACATGTGCTTCTCCCTGTGTGGGTTCCGGGGCTTTATTATAGGGAAAACAAGAATTGACCCTCTGAACACTCAAAAGCATGTCGTAAGAGTCGACTAATTTGGAGCTTCCTTCGAAGTCGGAGTGCATCTGTCTGAGAGGCAAGGAACCAATAGTCTGTACACAAATGCATCAGATCTGTAAAACGGTTACACACGCAAAACTCAGGTTCTAAAATAGAACCGCAGTCCAGAAGTGGACGAACAACCAGAACTTTCCACCAGTATTCACAGCTGGTGAACGCGAAGAAGAAGAAGAAGAAGATACATGTGCCTCCAATGCTTAACTGCACATTCTCGTGTGTTGCTTGATAGTTGTCTGGAGCAGACTTATGTTGCTGCCAGTGCAGAGGAGGTCCACGTGTGGTTACCAGCGACAGTTTATAGCAGACAGATGTGCTGATCCACAGACGGATCCGTTGTAAGATAACACGATAACACATGGGAATTAACAGCACGCTCTGCAGGCAGAACAGTCCAAACGCCAGCTGTACCTTCTGTGTGACTGCTTGGAGCATGCCGCTTAGGGTGATGACAGAGGTACCAGCTTGCATGTGGCTGGAGAAACAAGAGATATTCCCAGGTGTGTCTGAAGGGTGTGATCCGTAATTCTATGAGCATGATCCGGCGGGCGATGCAGACTCTATACACAGATAGTGGATTAGGTTACTGCAAAACTCCACTGTGCGAGGAGTTACCTTTCTCTTTGCCCCAAGGCATACAGGTATTGTTGGCATTGAAAGAGCTGTTAGTCTGGCCGGTTCCACGTTAGTTACACATCGATTGCTTATGGTTAAAGACAACATTGCTCATGTCCTTAAAAAGGATTTGGTGAGTTAGGTTAGTTGCGTATCCTTTATAGGACGTTGCAGAACCAACCCCAACAGCCCGTGGCTGTTGTGTGGTTTTTCTAGGCAAATTTACGTGCAGTAGTTTGCCATTTTGTGAGTATCGCGTCCATATCGCTGCTAAGTTTGAGAGAATTGGGAGTCGTAAATACAGGCAGCAATAGCTGTTTTTTTTTTTTCTTCTTTAAACATTGACACTGCCAGTCATAAGAATTACACTGGACATACATGTGTTGTAGGTCACAATGATGAAAAACACGAGTGGCTGATCTTCTTCTTTCGTTCGCTTAAAATAAATTATCTATATCTGCAATGCTGTCTCTAGTATGGACTTCTCCGTCTTCACTCGGCGATTCGTAAAGTTTGACTTGCACCGATGTTTCTCTTGGCCAAAACTTATGCCTTGATATGTTAATTTTGGACAGTCTTGGAGGAGATGATCTGTTGTCTCAGGTGCCAGTCCACATGGCTGACTCGCCGATTTCAAAATGTGTGTACATGTGGCTGCGAAGTCTTATCTTCACAGAAAGCATACAACCTAATTTTGGCGTGATCAATGAATGGAGTGAGACAGTTAAAAAATGAACACAAGTCTTACCTTTTGCTGTTCTGTAGAGTACGTGGATGTGTCTTTAGAAAATGTTGAAATCTCTCAACTGCTCGCTTGTAGGGAATAATTTTAAACATGAAAACTAACGCTAAAACGACAGTGATCGCAATGAAGCCTGTCATAGAACTATCACCCTGTCGTAGGTACATCGCGTAAGAAAAAAAGGCCGTGTAAAGACATATAAGCAAGATAAATACAAAGGCTTTGACTTTACGGCCGTGTTTCAAGCATGTTTTCTTTATATGACGTCTAGACCGGTAGAAATAATAACACATCTTTATATTATAAGCGTTTTTTTTCTCTCGATTACGGTCAACAGAATTTGTCATTTCTTCAAGTGTTAGCATATTAACACTTGATTGCGAATGTGGCTTAATTGGATGCGTCTCTTCTGAGCAGTTGATAGTTTGTTGTGTACTGCCGGACATTACTTTTTCATCCATGATTACTGGCAAACAGGTTTGATTAAACTGCAGATTTGGCTTCAAAATTACTGTGCGTTGATTTTGATGAAAGTCGAACTTTAGAAAGCAATGGCAAATAACTTATAGTAAAATTGCCGAACAAGGTCACAAACAGCCAACAGTGCTGGAATTTGTTTGCTACGTCTTTAAAGAATATGCAACTAACGGCTTTACTTGCGTATACAAATAAAAGCAAGAAAATGCGTTAGGGTAAACGTCTACCCATTTGCCGACTAGAGTTGATCGTGGAAATCACATGACAAAATTTGGAGATACTGCCAGTGTATTCAAACAGTGCGAACGACACGAAAGCGTGACATCAGAATTCGTTTCCAGGAACGTTTGACCAGATTAAGGATATTGCCCTGCCCCGTGGGAACTTCATGCTGACTGTGACCGCATTTCCAGCGTGGAAATTTCATTTATACGGTTGCTTATTTACGGTTACACGTATCACACATACACAAATGGGCTGCCATAAGGGGCACTGTCATACATTTAAGTTATGAGTTGAGTTGGATTATCTTCACAGCACTCTGGAAACATCCATAGTTGCTCAGAGTCCTCCCCCTCCCCCTCAACACATTCACCAGCGTCGCGCGGGTAATAGTGCCAGTCATATGCTTGTTGACAAGACTTCGTGTGCGTCTGGTTTGCTTCTCATGCTTGACTGTGTCGATATTTACTCCCAATTCTCGTATTCTTAGCAGTGATGCTTTTGAAATCCTCGTAACGTCCTAGCTCTCTAAGGGTATTGACAATGTCTGCGTGATCCATGGGCCGGTCATCTTCAATTAATGCGGCACTTGCCAGTCTATCAGCTCTTTCATTACCAACAACATCTGCATACACTTGGACAAATATAAAGGTAACTTCACACACAGGAGAGTTTTGCAATGACTCAGTCCACTGCGTAACAAGCCTGCCTCGACCCGCAGGATCATTCAAAGAATCACTCAGCATACACACGCTGGAATAGTCCCGTGATTCTAGCCATATGAAAGCTTGTGTCCCCGCCATCACCATGCTGTTGGTAGTCATGGAGAAGGCACCGCTGGCTTCTCAAACTGTTCTGCCACTAGAGCGAGCTGTAAATGCCCATGCACTCTTATAACGGACCAGTCTGTGAAGATAAGCACATCAGTCTCATCTGACTTGTCACTAAAAGCACGCATACCTCGGTGTTGACAGCAGAGGGATTCTGCTCTCGACAACTGCTATCGAGCGTCACGACACAGGAGAATGTGAGATTGAGCGCTTTAGATACTAGTATTCACTCCTCACCTGGATGGATGACTGTAAGGCTGTAGACCTGCATGATGTCATCCTCTGCCCTACTCAGCAATGATTTGCACATTTTAAGTCTGTTTCCTTTTTTCTTGAAGAGCATGTGGTACAAGGGCTGGCTCAGATCTGAGCCCTCCAGATCTTGATCCTGTAGTTCATGGCAGGGAAGTCAAGAAGGTACAAATTTGCTACACAAGAGGTGTACTCAAAAAGGTACCTCTTTGCTACACAAAAGGTGTCTCCATTGTACGCCAGAATAATGCGCATTGCTTCGTTTTGCACCTTCTTAACTCTTTCAATCTGAGTATGGCTGACTGATAATGAATAAACAGAGAGGGGAACCATTTGAGGCCGTTAAATATTATGAATTAATCAAGTAACAGAAAGTATTGTGAACGGCACTCATAGAAAGAAGTAGAAAGATAGAAGAACACACTAGACAACATAAAAATCGAAAGCTATAGTTACCGTGCCGGGAATTGAACCTGTCACCTCCAGACGGCGTCTGCGCCTCGCCATGAATACAAGTGCACTAAGATACATGGTCAACTCGGCACCCCCAGAAAAAAAGGTGTCTCATTGGACACAATACTTTCTGTTACTTGATTAATTCATAATATTTAACGGCCTCAAATGGTTCCCCTCTCTGTTTATTTATAGGAATGACGTATACACACCGGAACCTACCAATCAAATACCTTTCTTAAATGTTTGTGTATTCTAGACAAGGCAATAAGGTCTACTGTGTACGTAAATTGTTGCTGTGATTGTTATTTGACATTTGCCTCGTTAATATAAATTTCTGTAACCTATGGTGCCATTTCAATGGGTTGAATTGAATTCTGTCCGTATTCCATAGTCGTGGATTTCAAGCTGTACGATAGACATGGCCAATGAGACAACTTTTTTTCTGGGGGTGCCGAGTAGACCATGTATCTTAGTGCACTTGTATTCATGGCGAGGCGCAGACGCCGTCTGGAGGTGACAGGTTCAATTCCCGGCACGGTAACTATAGCTTTCGATTTTTATGTTGTCTAGTGTGTTCTTCTATCTTTTTACTTCTTTCTATGAGTGCCGTTCACAATACTTTCTGTTACTTGATTAATTCTGACTGATAATGGCTAGAGCTTATTCGACGAGAGACAGTACAAGTCCCTGGAACTGAAGCAGGCCTTCGAAGGGTTGACATGAGCATTAGAATCTACACACTAGGAGGAGATGCGCCATACATTAATGTGTGACAGTGAGTGAGAGAGACTGTGTGGTGTGTGTGTATGTGGGGGGGGGGGGGGGGTGTTGCACCTATCCAGTTTAATTTTCTAGTACCAAGCTAATAATAAATTGCAGCATGCTATTTATTTGGTAAACAAATGGTTTTGAAAAAACAAACAGTATGTCTAAAAGAAAGTTTAATACAAACGTTGATGGGAGCGCTTGGGTGCAAACTTCAACTGCTCCAACATGCTGAGAGAAGAAATACAATCTGGAAATAAAGTATACTATGCCCTTTAACACGTCAAAGTGTTTGTCTCAAGATCAAGATCAAAATATATAAAACGTTGATAGACCATTCGTTTTATAAAGCTATGAAACTTGGAGCACAACTAAAAGAGATAAAGCATTATTACAGGTTTTCGAAAACAGGGTCTAACGACGAATCTTTGGACCCATCAAATATGCAAACAGCGGGGAATGGAGAGTCAGAAGCAACAACGAAATTCATACTCTGTTTAGTTACCATTTATCACTGGTATTATGAGAGCCAATAGACTTAAATGGTTAGAGCATACTGAAAGAATGTCAGATGACAGGAAAGTGAGAACTGTATACACAAGCGACATGAATGGTCGTAGACCACGAGGCAGACCAAGAAGACGATGGAGAGATAATTTCCAGACAGACCTGCAAACACTTGGTGTCTCCAACTGGAAAGAGAAGGCCAACCAGAGAGATAAATGGAGGCAAGTGATATTTGCAGCAATGAACCTCAAGGGCTCGAAATGCTGAAAAAGAAGAAGAAAACGTTGATGGGAGAGGTCAAAGATGCTGGAGGGGATTCCGTCAAAATGATTGCCAGGATACAAGGGCTTGAAAACTAAACTGCCAGCGTTCTGTGACAAATGACATATACGGAGAATATAAGCACGATGTGCCAGGACTTCCCGCCGGAGTTTCAGCCAGTAAACAAAGAAGATCTACTTTCTAGCCTGTACTCTTTTGATGTGTACTTTGTATGGCATACATATTATACACAATGTTTCTACTGCAAAATGTAACGATTTCTTTCTCATTTTAAATACCATTAGAGCAGACAGGCTGTGAACACGAAACTTCTAGCTTTTTGTATCCTTCTATTTGCAGAATATCCTGTCAACTTATTTTTCTTCTACGAGTGCCTTGTCTGGAACAGACACTGGCTATTATGTTTTTCTGGTAGCCTCTGTAGTCTGAAGTGTTGATGTAGTTAGCGTTATTTATATCATTTGCAGCCTATCGATGAAGTTATTGTTGTTTATATCATTTGCAGCCTGTTGATGCAGTTGGCGTTATTTATATCATTTGCAGCCTATTGATGCAGTTGGCGTTATTTATATCATTTGCAGCCTGTTGATGCAGTCTCTTTTTAATTCTCTATTTACAAAATTTATATCATTTCAAATGTATTATACTTATCTGCCATTAATTTTTTTCTGTGGGAAACTACTGTAGTGTAGCGGCTAGACACTCGCCTGAGGTTCTGAAGGTTGTGGGTGCATGCCCTGACGGAGTTGGACTTTTCACACACACAAAAAGACCTTGGCTCCCAGGTCGAGGTGTTCCCAGTACTGCAAACCAGTTTATAATCATGGGGTGTCCCAATTTATCTGTTTTATACAGCTTAACAGACTGTCTGGGACTTTGCTCCTGCTGAATTCGCATCCGGAAAGTGGCTTCTTGAGTAACTGGGTGTCCACCTTTTAGTCAGCAGTCCAGGAAGGCAAACATTTTATATTTTGATTTAGAATGGCACACACAGACAGACAGAGATATTGGTCTAGTTTGATAATGCTACATCTGTAGATTTTAGCTGTTTCACTGTCAACTCATCTCAAGCAAATGCCTATAAGGGAAATGAGTGTTACATAACAACACTCGCAAAGCATACGCTGACATTTACAAAGTCACCATCTTTATAGGTAGACAACAAATCAAATGATAATAAGACTGGCATCAGACAGGAAACTACAGAGAGCGATGTTTTACAGATACAGCGGTAACAGATCCAGAGATCAACCATGCAGAAAATGAACTGTAGAAATATCAAAGACACTGTAAAGTACTTTACAGACACTAACAGAAGGGCCCATTTCAGAGATCTCTTCTTGCCCTGACGTCGTGAGGTATTCCAGTAGTAGAGAAAAGAAGAAGATTATAAAAGCAGTAATTAATTGATATACATGTGCAGGGTCTTAAAATTTTCCAGAAAAGTCTAAAGTTTCATGTGAGTTTGTGTAACCGTTAAGCTTAAAACGACACTGGGATGATGAGGAACATCCCGCATCTTAAAGTGAGGGGTTGTGTGTACATGCACGTGTGTATTTTACACAAACTTCCTGGCTATAGGCATAATACTTGCAGTGTGTACATTTGTTGTCAACTTCACTTTTAACACACACACACACAAATCCTGAAAACACATGATTACAGCTAATAGTTGATACCTAAATTACCCCTTTCATTATCTGACAACTCACCACACATTAACCCACTGATACCATGCCCGTTAACCCTTGCACTTTCCCATATACTACGTATTTTAGTGTATTCTAAAAATTCCAATGCTTCACAATTATTTAAGAAGAAACTTATAATATTTTTATTTTTGCACCGAAACCAAATGGAAAACAAATTTCAAGAATAAATAATTGTGTAATCTTGTTGTACATCATTATCATCTGGCTTCTCAAGTGTAGTTACCCTTTTGCGTACTGCTTCTTGGAAAGTAATGAATTTATGCCTTTTCATCCAGGTTATTTTTTAACTTTGGCATCTCATGTAAAACCTGGTACAGAAAGGGGTAACCTACACAGAGTCTGTTCTACTTACCCGATATGTGCCAACCACTAGGTTACCCCTAACAGAGTAAGGCTCGACTACGGCTACTCCAAAACATACATACTCAGGGTACACAGTCTTAAAGAAGCAAATGCTTATGATACAAAAAGATTAAAAATTTATTGCTAACCTCTTATAGTAATCTTCAGACATTAAAAAAACAAATCAGTAACCAGCAGTTGCAAACACACACAATATTAAAACCAATTCTTTTATCAAATAACTAAAGACTACATGTCTGTTTTGTCTTGATATTAGAAATAAAGCACTGAAAATTTTTCTGAAGGACTCAGTCAGAATCTGATGACGATGACGAAGATGTTGTAGAACTTGCAGCAAGGTCCTCAAAATATCTTCTGCAAGAAATAATAATAATAATTAAAAAAAAATATGTTTGTCTCTGTTGCCTGTATTTTACATTCTGTACTTTAATTATCAATGAAACTGATTAGAGAAACACACCCTAAGTACCAGGTATGCTCAGAACAGAGCTCACATTTCCCTGTTAACTGCAGGATCATCTTCACTGCACATCGGGCACACCCCTAGATGCTTTGATCTTCTCCAAAGTATGTTCTTTATTGGGTTTATGCTGACGACCTGCTCTGTATTAGTTGATGTGCAACTGGGAGCTCTGGCATGGTTTTCAAGCCGTGCCGTGCAGATTGATATATCCAGCTTTCACATAGGAGTCAGGGAGAGATCAGTATCCTTATGTTTGATGTCTACAATGCATGTTGGTTCCCATATAGCATGACATCCTTTCGATCCATCGAAAGTCCACTACCCAGGGTGGTTTGCATGCAAGGCGTCCGCAGCCACATTTCAGAAACTATTAAAAGTGTATGAAAATCACAGCCTATCTTATGTTATGGCTACCTAAGAGCTGCCAGGAACTTCATACCCAAACAGCATTATCTGATAAGGGTATACTTTACCATTATGAAATTCACACCCTATCTTACGTTACTGGCATTGAAAGCACATGGCGCTCGAGAGCTGGCTAGGGAAAGGGATACTTGCAGGCTTGGCATGAAGAAAGCGACATTCTGTAAAGGACTTACTGACTGATGATGACGACCTTAGGTTATGGCTATCTTAGCGCCTGCCTGGCACTTCATATCCCAACAACATTATCAGTTTAAAAAAATGGACAGAAAATCAAATACACAAGTAAAGAGAACTGGATAAGTGTAATAAATGAAATTGCAATTTGGTTTATAATTATTAGGATGCACAAGAAGTAGCTGATAAAAAAGAAACATAGAAAGACAAAATGAAATGTGGAACCATACATATATTATTTCTTACATTTATTCAACATACTGCTTAATTAGTAGTTCCCAATTAGGTGAGATCTGCAGCCAACTCTTATTTCTGAGGGTCAGCCAAAGACCCCATATTTTTTAATTGTCATTAAAGAAAGGAAATAATAAATTTATACAAGAATCACATAGAGGACTGCATTCTAAAGTGAATTTTCCTATACTATATTCTATCTACCTAAATCCTCTTCATGTTGCTGTAGACACACAAAGCATTCATAAATGATCTTCACTGCTGCTGGTCTGCTGCCTTTTAGCATACGGTATCCTATGTCATTTTAAAATTCCTTTTTTACTGTCCTTCTCTAGATCCCATAGGTCACCCAGTCACATTTTTTCTCCATCTGTCACCCATAGGAAAACTGTCCAGAGGCATTCTGCAAAAATATTCAAGCAGTCTCTATCTTCTTGCTTTGATAAAATTTGCCAGTGATGAACATTTTTTTTTTCTCTTCAGTTCTTCATCAATTATCTTGTTTGGCCAAAATATCAGCAGGATTCTGCTAAGACACATATTCTGAGAAGTCTCTAGTTTATGTTTAATTTCTGCAGTTCTTTTCTAAAACTCCCTGTTATACAATATTGTTCAGAAAATGTTGCTCCTGGATAATCTGAGTTTTGTCTTCAAAGTATGTCCTTCAACTTCCATATATGAAGCATGAAAAATGCTTTCTTTGTTTTTTATTTTGAGAATTCCTAGTGAGAGTAGCTTTTATTCTGAGGTGTATGAGATTTTCAACTTCTTTCTTCGTCATTTAAGGGAATTGCATTTTCTGTTTTCTGATTATTTCTCATTACTATAGTTTTACTAGTATTTATCTTCAATCTTATCTTAAGGGCCACAGTCACAATCATTTCCTGAGCATCCACCTAGCAGTTTCGTATACAACTGGTAAAATCTGCATAGTCCAAATCCTATAAAACCAAGGTAAGCAACCATCCTATGCCTCAAACTGATTTTACAGACCCTTAAATGTGCCCTACAGATCACCAAATGGGAAAGGCTGGTTTACAAAATAAATGATATCCTTCTACACCCATTGCTACATACACCTACTACATGCTACATTTTAATCAACAGAAATTACCTTTCTTGGTCTGATGGCTGGAATACCTCAAGGGCTTTTGTAGCTAAAGATGAGAGACCCTCATAGCCCAGCTCTTGCATACGACTCAGCACCTCCTGTAATTAGTTACAACAAAAACACTTTTAGATCAGTCGCTTCAAAACAATAAGAATCTATTCTGTAGGAGTAAAAAATTTGACTTGTAGATTCTAACACAAGAAGGGACATTGTTATGAATACCAGCATTAGAGATAACACTGGAATAAGACAGTGTGTGAATTACATTGATAGACAAAGAATGACATGGTTTGGCCATCTAGTGAGAATGCTGCAAGAGCAAACTGCATGTGAGATTTTTGTTTGTTTTCTACAGCAGAACATCTGGGAGGAAGGCGAGGGGGAGACCAAGAAAGAGATTTGATAAATAGTGTAGCTAAAACCTGCAAAAAGATGAATAAATTCATCACCCAAGCCACCAAGAAGCTCAAGACAAATACAGAAAACCATGTACGGAGCTGGTGTAGCAGTTAAATGTGCCATAATTATAACTTCTTGAAGGTTGAACATGGCATCTGAGATCTGTGTTGTTGGTCTGTCGTCCAGACTGAGATTTATTAAATATCAGCATGGTATGGTAAACCTAGGGTAATGCTGACCACATTACCCACCTAGTGCGGATTGGTCTGTAAAAATATGGGTGCTCTTCCCATATGCCCGATGCACCTAAAGGCGTGAAAAGAGATCTTTACTTAATTTTACTTTACTATGGTAAACTAAAATGACCTTGGCTCCCAGGTCGACCCATCCTTGAGTGGGTACCAGGTGCAATCCCGGGAAGTAGAGGCGGCCGGCGTGATGCTGATCACATCACCCATCTTGTGCCGTTGGTCTATAAAAATATAGGTCTAGCCCTATATGCCCTATACGCCTAAAGGCGTGGAAAGGGTCCTTTACTTTACTTACTTATGGTAAACTGATCGGTCAATCAACTTATTTATGCTGATAAGCATTTGTAAGACAAGTAGTGCCACTGAAATGTGAATATGTAAAAATATTCAATAAGCATCAAGGACATACAAAATATAATAAAGAAATCCTAAAGAAACTAGGCAAAGCTCTAGTAAATTGGTTAAAGTAAAAATTTTGAGATCATGCATTTTTCCTGTGGCAACTTACGGTTGTGAGTCTTGGACTATCACTCAGTCACTGAGAAAAAAGATTGGAGCTTTTGAACTGAAAGGTTATAGAAAAATTCTTAGAATACCATGGATCAGGAAGAGGAAAAACATGGACATTCTGAACGAGTTGAACATCAGGGAGAACTGGCTCATAAACAGCATCCTGTTCCGAAAGTTAAAGTATTTTGGCCACATCAAGCGTCATGGTGGCTTGGAAAAGACGGTGATGGAAGATGCGGCTTGTGGAAGGCGGGGCAGGGGTTGACCACCGGGAAGATGGATACAAGACATTGAAGATTCATTGGCACTGAAAGCCCATTGGGCCGGAGAGCTGGCTAGAGAAAGGGATACTTTCAGGCGTGCCGTGAAGAGAGCAACGTTCTATAAAGGACTTGCTGATTGATGATGAAAGAAACTAGGAATGATACTAATGAGATCAATGTTTGACAATTAAAAATTTGTTGATGATAATGCTGAAATGTAAGCATCTGACACCTAGGAACTGTGAACAGAATGAAGTTGATAATCTTGGTTTACCAGGGTTCAAAGTCATCCACAGAGCAATCTGATAGCAGACAGCAGACCCACTGCACTGTTTTTGATAATATGATCATCATACAACTCAGAAAGCAATGACAAACAAATGAACTCAAATAACTTCCTAATAAAATCACACAACATCCAATGTATGCTGGGGCCGATTTGTGATGTCCTGAAGAGGACTTTAAACAAGCCTGGTAACAAAGCTAAACACTTTGCTTGAGGAAAAGATACAGATATGGATAAGAGAAAATAAATTATTTTAATGGAAAGTTATTTAAAAAAAATGAAGATCACATAATTCCTAGTCTTTAGAAATGAACAGGTGATTATTATTTTAATTACTATGACTACAGTTAAGTTGGTAATAATGAATACAGTGATTATAAAGTGTAAATATTACCTTTGTTGCAGCATAGTCTTTTTTTTCTATCAGTTGCTCTGTTAATAGGCTCAGTGATGCTTCACTGTAACATAACAGTTGAATACAGAATGATTTTTTAAAATAGCTTACTTACATGCCAAAAGAGACAACTGGGTAAGAATATTCACATGCAGAAGGAGACAACAGAATAAGCATATTCACATGTTGAAGAAGACAACTGGATAAGCACATTTACAAGCTGAAAAAGATAACTGGATAAGAATATTCACATGCTGGAAAAGACAACTGGATAAGCATTTTCACATACTGAGATAACTGGATAAGCATATTCACATGCTGAAGGAGACAACTGGATAAGCATTTCACAGGCTGAAGGAGAAACTGGATAAGCATATTCACAGGCTGAAGGAGAAACTGGATAAGCATATTCACATGCTGAAGGAGAAACTGCATAAGCATATTAACAGGCTGAAGGAGACAACTGGATAAGCATATTCACATGCTGAAGGAGAACCTGGATAAGCATATTCACATGCTGAAGGAGAACCTGGATAAGCATATTCACATGCTGAAGGAGAAACTGGATAAGCATATTCACATGCTAAAGAAGACCCCTGGATAAGAATATTCACATGTCGAAGGAGACAACTGGATAAGAATATTCACATGTTGAAGGAGACGACTGGATAAGAATATTCATATGTTGAAGGAGACGACTGGATAAGAATATTCACATGCTAAAGAAGACCACTGGATAAGAATATTCACATGTTGAAGGAGACGACTGGATAGGAATATTCACATGTTGAAGGAGACCACCGGATACAAAAATCAATTGTTATTTCTATTATCAAACAAGACAAAATAGAACTGACCTCCATAACCATTCAGATTTAAGAGACAACAATTTTAAGCAAACCAATCACCAACAATCATACACGTAAACAGAAACCGCTATCTCTCATAAAACTTACAGATTTCCTTTTATATAATTCAAATTAATATGGAACTGCTGACAACTAAGACAGTACTTCAAAGACTGTTTTGAGCTAAGAGGATTAACAACACTGCACAGGGTTTAACCTTCCACTGCTTAGCCTCTTTGATAAATAACAAAAGAGGTAACAACATTAATATATTTTTCCACATCCATAAAAAAAACTACATAAGTGAGAAAACCAAGAGAGAAGCATCCAGAGCATGGAGAGGGGGAGAGAGAGGGAGGGGGGGGGGGGAGGGGGAGGGGGGAGGGAGGGGGGGGGGGGAGAGAGAGAGGGGAGAGAGAGAGAGAGAGAGAGAGAGAGAGAGTGTGAGAGAGAGAGAACCAATTTTTCAAAAAGGTACAGAAATAAATTCTGCCTCAAACACACATTAAATATCAATTGACATTCTGCTTGTTACTCCCACTTGCTGTGTACACGACGACATATAAATTCCTCTCATATACATTTAGTCTTAGTCGAGGTTTCAACTTCACTGCAGTCAGGTTACTCCATACTTGCTCCTTTCCTGTGCCAGTGAAAATCAAATGAAATGTCTCTTACTGTTCCATTTGAAAAACTGGTGAACAAACAATCAGTCCCGGCACAATCCAGAAACATGTGCATGCAATAAATGCATACAACATGATAAGTTGGCTAGACACTCGTAAAAGTTATTACATACGTTATTTAACCAGTAAATACATAAAATAGTCACCGGTCACGCTGAACACCATGACTTAACCACTGCTGCACAAATGAAAGGCATTCCTCATAAAAAACACAGCTCACAGTGCTGCATTAAGCGCTAAACTCAGTAGCCCAGGCAGCAAAATCCCGCAGACTTTCATCCATATGTGGAAACAGCATTAGCAAAGCGATGTCGGAAGCAAAAATAACTTTGAAGCTAAACATTCTGCCGTGCCAAGTCCACCATATTAGACTGGAAGTCTCACAAACATATAACTATACAAATGATGGGACAGACAAGGAGTCAGGAATGGTAAGGAGTTGTGCTGCCTATGGTTTTAACACACTTAATCATTAGTGTAGCATCCACTTTAGGGAACTGTCCCTGGAACTTCAGGGAGCCATGACAACACAGTATTTTATCAAAATCAACATTTCTGCACATTGGGCATTCCCAAGCACGTTTAGTCTTCTGATGCAGCATCCAGTCCAAGTGGCTCCTACCATGAAGAGCTGGTTATGTCTCCTATCACAGCCTCAAAGGCAGCACATTTGGGCTTCACCATGCTTTACTCCCATTTCCCACAATTGTGTTAATGTCAAAAATTCATCATTATCCACTAACCCGCACAGCACAGCACGGTCATGCTTCTTCCTATATGCATTGGTGCAATGCTTGCCAGTTAATCTGCTCATTCATTATCTTTGAATCCGACATGGCCAGGTGTGTAGATCCAGGTGAGATAGGTTAAGTGCCATTGCCAAATATTTTTTACTCAGAGCACCTAATGCTATTTTCTGAAGCATGTTTACAGAGTCTGATACGATTACTGCATAAGCACATTGTCGAGCCCATTACCTGCTGGTTCAGGGGTCATACCTTCTTCACTGAAGTTACATTTTACATATTCTCTTGGGCTCCCAAGTTGACCCTACCTAAAATATATTGAGGAAGTTGGGTGGCAGGCATAATACTGACCACATAACAAACTGAATCCCAACTGGTCCAAAAAATATGGCATTATCTTCTTCTTCTTCTTTTGTTCATTTGAAATAAATTATCTATATCTGCATAGTTGTCTCTAGTATGAGCTTCACTGTCTTTTGTAATTCACTTAGCGGCAAATAAAGTTTGGCTTCCACCCGTGTCTCTATTGGCCAGTAGTTTTGTCTGGAAATGATGTATTTGGTACAGTCTTGGAGGATGTGATCTGTTGCCTCAGTAGCCAGTCCACATGTGCATATGGCTGATTTGCTAATTAATTATGTGTACATATAGCTGCAAAGTTGATTGTGCCCTGTTCTAAGGTGCAGAATGATGACTTGCTAATATGGTAATCATCTTGTGCCAGTTTTTGTGGCTTTCTGATTGATTTGATTACTCTCTTCTTCTGTTAATAAGAGACTGGAACATCAGGTTGTTCTTCATTTGCACCTTATTTAGCTAGATTATCAGCTCTTTCATTTCTGGGAACTCCACAGTGGGACGGTATCCACTGCCTAGCCACCTTACACAGGTTGCCTAGTTCTGACGGTAGTGTCCGCATACCTGGTGATTTTTCTAACTGGAGTGTCTTAAGTACCACTTTCGCATCTGTCAGGAATACCACTGGATGTAGTGCGATTATCATCACGCACCAAATATTCTTCCAAGAAGGAAACAGGCCCTTTACTTCATCGTGTGGATTTTTGGGGCTCCATTTTGGAGAATAAAGAGCAGACCCACTGTCCCCCTGACAACCATGTCGTAGGAGCTGACTAATTAGAGATATTTCCTCAGTGTTGTTCATCTGCCTGAGAAATATGGAACCAACATTCTGCATGCAAATAAGCCAGAACTGAAAACGTGCACTCAAAACTCAAGTTCTAGATCAAGTCCAGTCGGGGAGTGGAAGAACAACCAGAACTTTCTGCCTGAGTTTACATCTGGTGAAGATTTAAAAAATAATAATATTTGTTTTACTTACCTGGGAACTCCATAATTCAATGAAGTGTCTTCTTTATAGATATGGTAAAGTTCCCTGTAAAGACAAGAATACATATTGTTAATCATCATCATTTACAGCTCCCCTCTAGGCCCCCGTGTGGGTTCCAGGGCCCTATTGTAGGGAAAACAAGAATAGACCCACTGCCTCCCCAAAAGCATGTCGTAAGAGTCGACTAACTGGGAAGCTTCCTTTGAAGTCGGAGTGCATCTGCCTGAGAGGCAAGGAACCAGCAGTCTGCATTCAATTGAATCAGATCTGTAAAACTGATGCACACGCAACACTCAGGTTCTGGAGCAGGACTGCAGTCCAGAAGTGGACGAACAACCAGAACTTTACGCCAGAGTGTACAGCTGGTGAACGCGAAGAAGAAGAAGAAGAAGCTCCCCTCTAGGGAATATTTAGTGTAGCATGTTTTGTCTTTCAGTGCAGTTAAGAAGCATATTGTTATTGGTGACAATAGTTGGGGGTTTTAATATCATTGTCGAGCGAGTAATTAACCAATTCACATTGCATGATAGCTCTTTATCAAGGCTACTGGCCGCTTGATGTAAGGTTTTCTGACAGAAGAATCACACAAGAAAACCACCGGTGACCTAGAAAAAAATGTGAAGGTGGTAAACTGACTTGCTTGGGATGTCCCGTTTCCGTCTCAAAATAATTAGCCCGATGTAGTGTTTTAAGCTAAATATATTATGGTCACCCTAATTAGACATCATGCAAAACTAAGACAAGGTTACAGAGTTTAGAAGCAGACCAACAAAAGACAGATTCTCATACACAAACAGACTGCTTAACAGAAAATGTTGAATCTTCTCTTTCCTAATGTCAAATGAGGACCATAATTAATCATCGGTGTAATATCTGTATCCAGATCTGGCTTATCTGTATCCCAATCTGGCTTATTTGTATCCTGATCCGGCTTATGTGCATCCCAATCTGGCTTATTTGTATCCCGATCAGGCTTATTTATATCCAGACAGACATGGCTTAATTGTATCCCGATCCAGTTATTTCTATCCATATAAATACTGGCTTTTTTGTATCCAGATAGATCCACTTGTTTTATATCCAGACAGACCCGGCTTATTTGTATCCAGATCTGGCTTATTTTTGTATCCAGATATAGCTCATTTGTATCGGATCTGGCTTATTTGTATCCTTTTAATCTGGCTTATTTGCATCCAGATCTGGCTTATCTGGATACAAAGAGAGATCCGGTTTATTTGTATCCATATTTGTATCCAGATCTGGCTTATCTGTATTCGGATCCAGCGTGTTAGTATTTAAACAGATCTGGCTTATTTGTATCCAGATCTGGCTTATTTGTATCCAGATCTGGCTGATTTAACCTAGGTCTGGCTAATTTGTATTCAGACTGACATGGCTTATTTGTACCCAGATCTAGCTTAGTTGTATCCAGATCT